ATCAGTTCTGGATGCCCACAACGAGGCATTTCAGGACACATCAGCATTAGGGCAGCTGAAGTTCTAAAGTTGATTTGAGAGGTATTTTTGGCTGTGTTATGTTTTGTGCAAGGCCTAGAAGAAACTGCAAGCCGTAGACATACAGTTGTATGGATCTACAGACTTGTTCTCCCCTAAGCAAGGAAAACAGCATTCAGCCTCCCTATTAACCCCCGGGGCGGGGTGGTAGTCTGACTTTGAGGGGTGGGAGAGTTGTTAGCTTGTTGAAATTTGTGCTGTCAAAAATCCTTGTACGGGAAGTGAAAAGCCACTGCTGCTGTGCAGTTCACTCTTGCTGGGAGGGGTTGGGATGGCAACAACTGAGAAGAAGAATGTTCTCCTTCTCTGGAGACATTCAAAGCCCGCCTGGATGCGTTCCTGTGTGATCTGATCTAGGTGTCCTGCTCCGGCAGGGGGATTGGACTGGATGATCTTTCGAGGTCCCTTCCAATCTCTAACATTCTGTGATTCTGTGATTCTGTGAATGTTCTCCCCAGTATTTGGGGTGAGTTGTTCATTTCATAGACAGTGGCAAGGAGAAGGAAAAGGATATTGAGGAAACAGGGCACAGAGACAAGGTCTTAGTTAATAAGAGGACATAGAGGACCACTTCAGATGACTAATAAAAATTCAATATCCTAATACCCCAATTTTTTAAAGGGAAAAAACCCTCCTGTTTGGGGTGTTCCTATAGAGGAGATGAGGATATGTTATACTATTAAAGAAAGGGAAAGTATAACCCATCCCTTGCATGGGATTCCTGGATTTTCTAGCTCACGTATGGGTTATTTTGATGGTTCCAAGCCAGGCAGATCAGTAAGATGGTCACAAGGACAGTGGCTTGTTAGCTGTGTTTCTGCAGCCTGTGAACTTAGCCCCCAGATAAGCCGACAGCTCTTCTGGAGAGAGCTGCTTTACATAGCAACCTGCTCCTGTGTTGCATTGTATTCACTCTTCTGCTCAGGGGTGAAAAGTCCTACATAGCATGTGTTGGCCCAGCAGAATGAGCTCACACGAAAAGAGCAATACAGCTGCCCCCTTCCTTCCTTTCTGGAGAAGCACGTGAATTTATGGCTGTTCTTGTGTGTGTAGTAAAGCTGGCACCACAGCCCCTACCTTGTCAGCAATAGGACAATTCAGGGGAAGAAAAGCTTGGCGTAACCTTTGGTATGTTATTTATTATCACTTTGCAGCCCCCTGGAAAATGAACTTTAGAAAATTCTGAGCTGACGGTAAGGGTGAACACTGGGAAAACCCGGGAATCAGCAAATCCATTGTGTTGTGCTGACAGAAAGATACTGTTACAACACACTTCAGCTGCCAACTTGCTGCAGTCACTCAATCCATCATGGTGGGCTGTTGGATCACAAGCCAGTGAAACTCAGCCTGGCGTGTTATTTTAGTCTTACATGGACTGTGAGATAAACGGGGCATGAACCGGCCCCCTGGCAGGGGGTCGACCCCCGGCGCCCTCATTAAAGTGCCAATCAAAAAGAGTAATGGAACAGGGAATGGAAAGCTGGCTTCTCCTGCCTGTTCCTGCTCTCGGGCTGAGCAACTTTCACAAGCCAAGGGAAACATTACTCTTCTGAATAGGAGCCAGACCTCCAGAAACACCTCCTCTCTGCTTGTCGCTGTGAGAGCACGTGCTGAGGCTCTGCTGGGTGTCTTGCTCGTGGCGGAAACCTGTTGGTTACCACTACCTGTTCAGTGCAGGTGGTGGGACGAAGGGCTGCCGAAGGTGACCAGAAAGGGTGTCGATGCTTGTTCTGTGGAAAATGCAGGCACTGTGCTGGGCTTGCTTGGCTCATCCGTCGATCAGTGGCATGGTTTCTGTCACAAATTGCTCATAGTTCGGCATTTGTGTGTGACAGATGCAGAGAACGCTGCTTTCTGCCCATAGCAGTCCAGTTACCAATGTGAGTCTAGAAGGCTTGCTCACGTGTGCAGCAAAAAGCCAACGAAAGTGGCTTCCTTGTGCTTTGTGTGGGTTATTCCAGACTGCCTCAGGAATCCACGGCAAACACATCCTGCAGCAATACCGTAATCTTTGGGTGAGCCTACAGCTAAGGGCCAGGCACACATGCCGTGCTCAGCTGCCTGTCTGTGGGGGTGAATATTTCAAAGAAGCTTGTAGCCTCTGCTGGGACAAGGGATGCTTGTCTTTCCAGTGCTGAGTGCCTCCAACACTGCTGATGCTGGGGGATTTCTGTATGTCTTGTGATGCGTTCTGCGTTTCTGGTGTGTAAATACATGTTCTTCTTGCACGTCAGCTTCCCTCTGGTGTGTGCTCGGAGGAGAGGGCAGAAAGGTAGCTACCAGTTGGAAAGGTGGGTGAAGGTATGTGTGTTACGTGGAAATAGCATTTGGAGTCAGGAAGCTCTAAGCTGGGGAGTTGGCTCTTAAACCTGCTTATAAATGTCAGCTCTTGGTGTGATCTTGGTGTGATTATGAACTTGGCAGCTGTTTATTTGTGCTCACAACGTTTTACCAGCAGGTAGCTGCTCCAGGTGGATACTGGTTTGGTTTACAATTTTTTTTTTTCACCCGTCCCACCAAAACTCTATGTAGGCACAATTTATTTTGTACATCATTGTTTTGATACCTGGTGGTTTGTACTGCTGATTGCTGATTGTTTGCCAAGGGCCTTGAAGCAACAGCCCTTAGGTATGGTGAGTCACCCTCCCAGGTCAAGGCAAATGTTTGCTGTTGCTGTGTCTAGAGGGTTGAGGGACAGCTGGTATGACTGATTTCTCTTTTATTTGTTAAAATTTCTCTACAGCTGCAGCATCAAGGGGACTTTTTTTTGCTGGCATTTCCCCTTTTGCAGAAACAATTGTTCCGTAGCTCCCATACACAGTCCTTGTCCTTTGGGTGACCCGTCTGTTTATCCAAAATGTAAATGCACATGAAAGCTGTTGACTTCTCTCGTGGCCTTTTGGTACTTCTGAGTCAGACCACAGTAGGCCTGAGGTGCAAGGTTATTCTTATCCACCGAGGGAACTCTTTGTGCTGGGCACATTGTGCTGGGCAATGGGGGGGGAAGGCAAACAAACAAAAAAAAAACCCCTTTGTGACACTGGAGTCTGAGTGCCTGGAGGCAGCATAGCTGTACAACAGGCCAATAATAGAACTGATACAATGCAGGAGGCATGCATCTCTTATGTAACTGCATTGCGCTCCAAGATTATTTTTATTTCTACACTAGAATGTGCTGTAGTTCTACTGAGGAAAATAGCAAAAAAATATCCCCCCCGCCCCCTCCCCATTTGTCAGCAGTTAATTAGTAACCTCTTTTTTTAGTTTTTGGCAAGCCACCTTTCATGTGATTAGCACTGCACTCTCTTACATCTATGAGACAAGGGCAAAGGCAGTCACAGGTGAGGACCCAGCCTGCTCTACACATCTGGTGACAGTTTTTTCCTCACTCGCCCACTTCAGAAAAATCTGCTGATAAACAGCTATGAGAAGGACGCGGTTTAGTGAAATTGATCTGTGTCCCCTGTTAATGAATCATTTTCTCAGCTAGATAACCATGGTGTTACTGAGGCAGATGGCTTTGCACTGTCCCACTTCCTTTTTTAAGGCTGTCAGAGCAGTGGACCAGCTACCAGTGGACTGCACTATCGAGGCTGGAGTAAAAGGGAACCTATAATACAAACGGGGAATTGGAAGTGTTTTGGTCCTAGACCCACATTTGATAAAAGTAAGCATCATAAGGCATACTGATTAAGAGCCTGACAAAGCTCTGGGCATAGTTTGATCCCTCTCCCCCCCAATAAAAATAAGACTATGTGTTACTTCTTTGTAATAGCTACAATTTTAAGAATAGAGGAATTTGGAGTATGGCCATAGCTTCGTGTGTGTGTGTATATATTTAAAAAAAAAGTATTATAAGCATACAGATGCACAGATTGTTAGTAAGAAACCAAGTTGTGTAAGTGGATTTAGAGCAACTGTTGACTTATTCAATTAAAAATGTTTTGTTTTCTTTTAATATATCTTTGCAGCAACCTTTGCAGCAACCTGTGACCTGAAGAGCGTACAGTCTTCGAAATGTTTTTTTTTTTTTTTTTTTTTTTTTTTCCTCAGGTACTAGGGGTGCATTGTGATTAGCAAAGACAAGCATGGGCTTCCAAGAAGAGAAGCAGAGCAAGCAATGTTATTCCTGGAGCAATCATAATGAAGTGGCGCAGCGCAGGCAAAGGGAAGGAGGTATGTTCCGTTCTCGGTGGTTGAATTTTTGACTGGGAGCAAGGGATGGATAGATGATATGAGGAAGTGAGGAATTAACCGGTATGGCGAAGGAGGGAGGGAGGGAAGGGAAAGGAAGGAGGGAGAGAAGGGAAGGGAAGGAGGGAAGGAAGGGAAGGGAAGGAGGGAAGGAAGGGAAGGGAAGGAGGGAGGGAAGGAAGGAGGGAGGGGAAGAAAAAGGCTACACTGCCTTTCACTCAGCTGTTTGACCAAGTTCTGTTTTACCTTGCACAGGTAAATGCTGTTGCGCATGCAGACGTTCATCACAGTTGCTGAA